TCTCTCTCTCTCTCTCTCTCTCTCTCTCTCTCTCTTATATTTTTCCACAATTGATTTATTAAAAGCATAATCAAGTGATACGCGTATTGTTTGTCTGTAAACACAATTAAATAATAAATAATTAATTACCAAGAATTTAAAACAAAATTACATATTTACAATTTCGATCTAATAATTAATAAATTCTTAGCATTTGTTTGATATTTATTTAATTAAACAAAACAAATTAGTTAATTTTAAATAAAATCAATCATGTGAATTTGGATTATAACATTTGCTTGATTAACGTAATCACAAGTTGTTTATTGTTATCACAATTTACATAAATCAATTTGAATATCCACTTATTATGCGTGATGTTTTAAGTACTCATTTAATCTACATTATCTAAATATTTAGTCCAATATACCATTCTGATTTAAACCTGAACCTTATTTTTATAAATTAACTCAATTTAAAAAATAAAAAACAATGTAAAACTTTAAAAACTAAACTACTAATTTAACTGCAAATACTTTGAACAAAATAAACGAGTTTCATCACAAAGAAATAGCATAATCTTATAATAAAAGTATTTCATATTTGTCACCCGTTGTACCCACTTAATGTACCTACCTGTCAATGTACCATGATGAATTTATAGTACCGGAGATAAAACTCTGTTCGTCGACGGGAAAACATGGTCGTAAATCAGTGACTGAATAAAATAAAGTCCATGGTCAACCCGGTATACTGCAACCAACTATAGTACTACTTAATTGATCCATATTGTTTAGTGCAGTGTTATCAATTACAAGTTAAATTGTAAATTAATAAATCAAAATTTGTTACAGTATTTTGATTATATGAAAAATTGTATGGGAATTACCAAGTTATATTTAAAATAGCAAAATTATTTTTAGCAAGTTTTAAGCAGAGTTTTATAAATGTTATAAAAGGTAAAATTTTTTATATGGTAAATAATAAATAAATTTTAAATTGTACAATAAAAATAAATTGTTTGAATTAATGTTAATGCAATATTATATTTTAAATCTGATAATATTGCAGCAGCATTAATGAACAAAAAAGGTTGGTTACCCATTAATTTGGTTAATCCGGGTAAAAGTTTAGGATGAAAACTATATCGCATTGTTAAACTATATCTGTTAGAGGTACAATAAATACATATACAGAAAGCAAAAATGTCACGGTACTAAATTAATCCAAATTTATTATAATTATAATCACACGCAGTGCGCACAAATGCAAATGCCACCCAGCTTAATTATTATACTAAAATTGATTAAATTTTTAATATAAATACGAGCGGAGAATATGGATCAAGATCATAGTTTTCCCCAGTGTCTGGAGTTTAGCTACTGACGAGACTACAAAAAAAACACTTCGGTTAAATAACTAGATTGAAAAATGGGTTATTTGACTCAAGCAGTGGTCGTTGGGCTGTTGGTCACCTTAACGTACGGTAAGTCAGCCAATACAGCACAATAACACATCAATATACACAAAAACATATTCAAATAACATTATGATTACTTCAAATATAGGGTACGACTGGCCAATCGTCGACTTCCCATGCGATCAGGCGGAGATCGACGCCACCAAGTGTTTGGGCGCGAAGGACTGCCTATACCCGCACCCGTCCAACTGTAACCGTTTCATACAGTGTAACGACGCCGGCCTGGCCTACGACATGCCCTGCCCGGCGACCCTGCACTTCAGCAACAGCAAGAAGGAGTGCGATTACCCGGCACAGGCCGGTTGTGAGCCTAAGCCCAAGCCGCCCACCACTACTACACCCAAGCCTAAGCCCGATCCCAATGTGTGCTCGTTGGAGGACATCGCCAACACCGGGTGTAAGGGCCCCAAGGACTGCATGTATCCGGTGCCCGGCCGGTGCGACCAGTTCTATCACTGCGAGGTCGACGCGGGCGGTGTCACCGGCACTCCCGTTGTGAAGGACTGTCCCGGCGGTCTGGAGTGGAACGATATCAAGAAGGAATGCGATTGGCCCGTCAACTCTACCTGTCCCAAAGGGCCCACTAGCCCTAAACCTGATACACCGGCACCACCTCCGAGTCCCACCACACCCGAGGCCACACCAGAGCCCACAACAAAACCCACACCTAAACCGTCCAATGTGTGCTCACTGGAGGACATCGCCAACACCCAGTGCAAGGGCCCGAAAGACTGCATGTATCCGGTGCCCGGCCGGTGCGACCAGTTCTACCACTGCGAGGTCGACGCGGGCGGTGTCACCGGCACACCCGTTGTGAAGGACTGTCCGGACGGTCTGGAGTGGAATGATATCAAGAAGGAATGCGATTGGCCCGTCAACTCTACCTGTCCCAACAAACCCCCCACTGACGCCCCCACCACCACAACTACCACAACCACTACACCAAAACCCACTGACGCAATCACTACACCAAGTACTCCTAAGCCCACGACCAAACCATCGGGCTTTGTCTGCCCCGTCGACGACATCATTAACACCCAGTGCAAGGGTCCGGAGGACTGCATGTATCCGGTGCCCGGCCGTTGCGATCAGTTCTACCACTGCGAGGTTGACGCGGGCGGTGTCACCGGCACTCCCGTTGTGAAGGACTGTCCGGCGGGTCTGGAGTGGAACGACGACAAGAAGATATGCGACTGGCCGGTCGACTCCACCTGCCCTAAGCCAACCCGACCGACTAGACCTACCCGTCCTACTAAGCCTACACGTCCCACAAGGCCTACACGTCCCACAAGGCCTACACATCCAACCAGACCTACCCGTCCGACCAGACCAACCCGTCCCACAAGGCCTACCCGTCCGACTAGACCTCAACGACCTACTAGACCCACCCGCTATCCAAGACCTACCTGGCCAACTTGGCCTACATGGCCTACGTGGCCTACTTGGCCCACATGGCCTAGACAAAACTAGACTTATCGCGTTAATTAAATGTAATGTTAAATAAATGCTAACAATATTTAATAGTTATGTTTGACGTAGATTTATAGTTTATAATGTTATAACATCATATTCTTGTTTTACTGATAATAAAATTGTTGATTTATTTTACAATTAAATAATTAAATGTAGTGAACTTATTTGTGAAATAATTTCTGAATTAGATCCTTGTTGAAATATTTAAGTAATTATTAATAAAAATTAATTAAGTTGTGAATATCGTATACCCATATTGATATTGAGTGATCTTGGGGAAATACTTTCTATATATTGTAGTACGTAATAAGTTTATCAATTTTAATTATGTGTTATAAACTAAAATTTTTATAATATGGTTATAAATGTGTCGGTAATATTAATATACGTTTGTTAAATGCCCATGTTAGGTGCTATAATAATTAAACTAAAACATTGTACATACTAACGTACATTATTAATTGTTAAATAATCTTATTGTCAATGCTAATAAATTAGTTACAATAAAATTAAAGTGCATTAAAAACAATAACAGTTACTGAGAAATTTAAACTACATAATTGTTGTCAGGGTAATTCTTTGAAAATATTTATTTTATAATAACAATTTAATTAAATTTATAACAAAATTAAAACATTTAACACAAAACACATCAAAAATCTTTAATTATAAATCATTAGACATAAAACACAAACCGTTAAATATTTTTCTGTGGGAAATAAATGATACAATTATTACAATAAGTATTGAAATTTATCACAATTTATTTGCTAAGAAATCCTGGAAAACAAAGTAAACTGATGTTTATTATGCAGTGATTTCATAATGTAATATTAATGTTCATGAAATCATCCGGAGCAATTAATTCATAAATAACTTTAAAAGATAAGAATATGGTATAAAACTTAATGAGCGAACAGTCAAACAGAATACTAGTCAAAATGGGTTACTTGTTTCTAACACTGATTGTTGGGCTATTGGTCACTCTATCCTACGGTAAGTTAACAGATACCTCATACCACATACCTTATACAATTTGTAAAACACATTCAAATAACATTATGATCACTTCAAATATAGGGTACGACTGGCCAATCATCGATGGCTACCCGTGCCCTCAGGAGGACATCGACAATACCGGGTGTCGGGGCCCGAAGGACTGCCTGTACCCGAGCCCATACAGCTGTAACCGTTTCGTGCAGTGTAACGACGCCGGCCTGGCCTACGACATGCCCTGCGCTGCGAACCTGCACTACAGCGACTCAAAAAAGGAGTGCGATTACCCCGAAGTGGCCGGTTGTACGCCCCCAACCACGACCACCACCACTACACCCAAGCCTACGCCCCCGCCATTTGTCTGCCCCGTGGAGGACATCGCTAAAACACAATGCATGGGCCCAACCGACTGTCTGTACCCATTGGCCGGCAGTTGTGGTCAATTCATTCACTGCGAGGTTAACGCGGATGGCGTGACCGGAAGGCCTACTGTGAAGGACTGTCCGGCGGGTCTGGAGTGGAACAACAGAGACAAACGGTGCGATTGGCCCGAGTATTCCACCTGTAATGACGACGACCAGCCGTCACAACCGCCTCAACCGACCGACAGCACCGGCGCCGTGACAGAGAGTAGCGCTCCGGGCGGCACATCTGACAGCCCGGCGTCGGCCACCACTCCGGCGCCGGAGTTTGTCTGCCCGGCGGAGGACATCGCCAGCACCGGGTGTATGGGCCCGAAGGACTGCTTGTATCCGCACAGTAAACATTGCGATCAATTCATACACTGCGAGGTGAACGCCGACGGTGTGACCGGACGGCCCACTATTAAGGACTGTCCGGCGGGTCTGGAGTGGAACGATAACGAGAAGATATGCGATTGGCCCGTCAGCTCCACGTGCCCATCGGTGCCCACCACTGGCCCACCACCGGTGACCACTGGCCAGACATGCGATTGTGCCTGTAGTTCACCAACGGCAGCACCGGTAACTACTGAGATCATCCCAACCCCCTCTACTGATGGGTCGGTGAAGTTTAACTGCCCCGTAGATGATATTGCCCGCACCCGGTGTATAGGCCCCAAGGACTGCCTGTATCCCCACCCCTCCCAATGCGATAAGTATATCCATTGCGAGGTTAATGCCGACGGTGTGACCGGACGGCCGACTGAAAAGGACTGTCCGGCGATACTGTTGTGGAACGATAACCGGAAAGAGTGTGATTGGCCACAGCTGTCGACCTGTCGGTGGGGCCGATGGGGTCGAGATATGCGGAGCAGAATTTACCATAAATAATTTTTGACATGTTTTTGATTTTAGCATTTTTCAATGAGTTTATTAAATAAATTTTTTTGTTATAAGTTTTTAAAAAAGTGTTTATTGTCTTTGTTTTAGTAGAATTTTTATTGTTTGTAGTTATTTTGTGGTTCAATTAAAACTGTTTTAGCATTAAATTGAATGATATGTTTTACTATCAGTAATCATATTATCTAGATAACTTATCATTGAAATTTTGTTTGTACATGTTGTAGATTTAATACTATTAATACAGTACTAATTATTAACAATAACTTATTGTCAATAAGTTATAATTAAAATAGAATTTGAAATTGAATTTAGCTGTATTTTTAAAAATTATTTATTAAACAATTCAATAGAAAATGCAAAATTAAATGTAATAATTAAATGTATAATATGTTTAGCCAATGTATTTAATAAAGTTTATGTAATAAATGTTAGACTAAAAATTCAATCATATTTATTAAATTTCATAAAACAAATATTTAGATATTCAATAATGAGATTATTGACATATATTTTACTTATATTTAGTTCCCATTTAATAACACTACAGATGAGACCAATGCGTTTGAACACAAAAATTTTAAATTAATTGTAATTAAATTATATGTTTAGTGAATGCATTTATACACTGCTATAGAATCAGACATGAGATGAGAGAAATAATTATAAAGTAATTACCGTATTATTATAAGGTATACAGTAAAGTAAAAGATTATGAGATAATAAATGCAATATTAAATAAAAATTACAATGAAATATAAACTTAAATGTAATGTTCGTGTAATTAAATATTAAAACATATAAATTGAATAAAAGTTTTAAAATATAAAATTAAATCAAATTATTTTCAAAAAATGAAATTAATTATCGGACAATTGTGTATTAAATGTTGAATTAATCATCAAATAAATCTGTTTTCAAATGAATGAAACAAAGTTTGGGACAATTTTCGTATAGATTGACAGACCTTTCGCTGATGTCTTGTTCCCAGCCTTCGGTACCGCCGGTGAGAGTAATGCCACGGATTTGTCTCAATCCGGACAACGATATCAACGACTCGGCGGTGATCTTAACGATACTTACTTTCAAATACTGAAGATTCGGTAAATTGTGGCCAATATTTGCGAAGAAAATGTCCGTAAAATACAAATTGAGAGGATTTCCATAAAATACCTCTAAATCCAAATGAGTCAATCTCTTCAATGGCTGTAATGACTGGCAGATCATCGGGTCTTCCTGTGTTGTGACTACCGTCATATGAAGTCGTGTTAATCCGGGAAAGGTTTTAGCGATAATAGCCATCGTCTTAGATGAAAACAACACGATATCTATGGACAGACTCTTCACACGCCGACAATTCATGAAAATTGTCCGCAATTTTGGGATCAGTTGCTCGTTGTTCAGTATGTTCACGAGGGTAGACCTGATTCGGAGATCAATAAGTGCCGACATTTGGCCCATAATTGGGATGAATGCGTTGAGTGTGGGCTCGATGTCTGTCGTTTGCGCCAAAACTAGCGTAAAGCCTTTCAATTGTGTGCCGTATCGGCCGACAAATGTTGTCAATGCATTCAAATGGGTGTCCGTATCAATGGTTTTCATGAAAATAATTAAATACTTGAGTCGTTTAAATATGTGTTGAGTTTCGGTCAACAGATTTGCCGCCGAAAGCGGTTTGCTTTCAAAATACATAATAATGGTCTTCAATTGGGTCGACGTTTGCAACTGTTTGGCCGAAAACGAGACCAAAGGATTGATTTGCACTAATTGTGGACCAAATTTAGTGATATATTTGTCACTCATTTCGTCACTAATGCTCTCGAAGTCATCGCCACTGCCTGTAAATTGAGGGCAATGTTTGATCAGTAGATCTATGGCTTTGTCTTCGAGGCCCCACTTGTGAGGCAATACAATGGATGAAATGTTTGGCCATTTCTTCACAATTGTCTCAAATATACTCCAATTGTATTCACTTTTCGCGAATTTGTGGCCAAATGTGGACTCAATTCGTGTCTTCAATGACTGAAGTAGTGATTGAAAAACATTTCGAATCTTCTTCGGGAGTAGTCTTCGGCCAGAAATTTCATTAATTGTTAACACCGTTTGTCTCTCGTATACCACTCTTTGCCACTGTTTTGACAGACATTCAAATCTAAACTTGTCTTCGAGGCTGAGATAAGATAACAATAGTCCGCACATGTCATCACCGAATCGATCCAAAGAGTCTTTTGCATACATTTCATCCATATTTATCACTAATTCAATTCACGACTCAATTAATGACTATTTTTTGTCATAAAAAACAAATCAAAGACTGATTTCAATGGATTTGACACAAAGTCAACGCTTTTTGACTTTATTTACAGTTTTCATGAAATCTCGTAAACAGTTTTCAACGCTTCACTCAATCACTCATTTATGGCATCAAATTATTGCTAAATGTCTTAAATAATAACTCAATTTTGAATTATATTTGTACTAATTATAGTAAACATTATTTGTTAACTTCATTTTCATAATGAATAATCATTTATTTGTGAATTAAAATCAATATTTTTCAATAATTATTATTTATTACGATGAAGAGAGAAGGAGAGAGAGAGAGAGAGAGAGAGAGAGAGAG